CTGCTCTTCGTCTTGGTCCCAGCCGGCAGAGTCCTCAGCTCGGGGGGTTATTATTCTTGGCGGTGTCCTGGACTTCGTCCTTGTCCCCGCCTGAACTGCGTCCCACCTATCACGGACTCTTCTTGCAGGTGCAAGTGTCACCCGGTGACGGTTCCTTGTCCCCATCGGGATCTCTGCGGCGTCACGGGTTGGCATGGGGCGCTGGGGAGCCTCCGAGTGAGGCAGCTGTCCCACCTCGGGACACTGCGGGGACCAAGCCGTGAGCCAGCGGACGAGCCATTTGCACCGGTGGGGAGGTGACACGGGTGAGGAGACAGACCCCCGGTCACTCCCAGCAGCAGCCCCCCCCCTCCCCCCCATCCCAGGACCCACCGCCCCAGGATGCCTCATGGAAGCTCTTCCCCCAGCACCCACCGGGTGTCGCTGGGAGAGCGGGCTGCAGCCCTGCGAAACCTGAGGCTGCCTTCTCCCGTCTGCCTCCCTGCCCTACCTGTCTGCAGGGCCCGTACCTGTCCTCGTCCCTCCGGGGGACTGCACCTGCTCCTCCACGCTGCCCTGCCCCTGTGGGAGCCCCCATGGCAGCCAGGACCGTTGGGTGTAGTGGGGACAATGTTGTTTCTTGTCCCCGGGGTTGCAGGGACGCTGGGTGACAGTGGCAGAGGAATGGTCACAGTTTGAGGTACTGCTGTGATTTAATCCCTGCCGGCAGCTCAGCCCCCTCTCAGCTGCTCACACACACAGCTCCGGTGGGATGTGGTACAAAATGGGAACAGATAAAATGGTAAAAGGGACTAAAGTGATGGATTGAGATAAAATCAGTTTAGTAGGAAAAAGCAAGGATGTCCTGTAGTCTGGGGTATCCCGGGGGTGGGTGTAGGGAGGGGCAGAGCTGCCCCATCCACATCCCCTCCCAGTTTCTGTGTACCCCCAGAACTCTCACTCACTGGTGGGGCAGCGGGAGGAGCTGAAAAGTCCTTGAGGCTCTGTGAGCATGGCTCAGCCATTTTCAGTCACCCCTGGGTTATCAGCACTGCTTTCAGCACAACTCCAGAACAGTCCCACACTGGCTCCTATGGAAAAAATTACCTCTATCCCAGTTAAACCAGTCCAGGACCCCAGGGGACATGGAAGGTTGGGAACAGTTCCAAGGTGCTGGGGAAACCATGCGCAGGGGGCTTGGAGTGGGCGTGGGGCAGCTGAGGTCAGTGTGTCCATGGGTATGGGGACAGGGAGGGGACTACAATTGTCCTGTGTTTAATTTGTCGGCACAAAGAGGCTGCTCAGCCGGCAGTGAGACCCTTCCCAATGGCTATGGGGCAGAGGCGGTTTGAGGGGGTGCTGGTTGTGGGACTCCCGTGTTGCCCCTTCACGCTACTCACCCAAATCCACCCGACGCGTGCTGCCTGCCCTGCCTGTGCCTTCTCCGCCCCCTGCCCGCCCCGCAGCTGAACTCCCGGGCCCCGGCCCCTCGCCCCTCTGCACCCTCGGCAGATGTGAGCAAAGGCCCCGGAGCAGATGGCAACATTTGGTAGCCGAGTGGTCCCTGTGTGCGGGACTTTGCTGGGCTGTGATGGCCGTCCCTCCAGGAAGCCACCTCCTCAGCCAGGGCTGGGGAGCCCATCCCAACTGCAGCCAGAGCATGCCAGGGGTGCAGCGGGGATCCCCAGGGTGGGCACACTGCCCCTGCCATGGGGGTGACAGGGTGGCAAGAGGGCATGGAAAGCTCAGCAGCCCCAAAAAGCAGGGGTCTGTACTTGAGCTCAGCCCTCGTGAGACCCATCCCCTAATATCTTTTTCCATGTGTGAGCAGTGGAGATGGTCTGCTTGGGTAGAGGGTGGCTGCTGCTCCATTTCTGGGGAGACAAGGGGACTCCCTCACTCCAGGGACTACTGGGCACCCTATTTGAGAGGATAGGACCCCCAGACTTGGGGACCTGCTGGCGGGTCTCAGCCTGGACCCTGGCAGCCCCAGCTCTATTTGCATTCATTTCCATGTGAAAGGAGCAGGTCAAGTTGAAAGTGGAAAGGCTGGTGGGGGGCAGCCGGGAAGGGGCCGCTGTCGGAGGTGAGACCCCAACAAAAGGGCCGGATCCCCAGGGCCCAGTGCTCGCCTGGTCATGGGCTGCAGCCACGGCCCCACGGCAGCCGCCATCTGTGGGTCTGTGCCGCCGCCACCACCGGCCAGACAAAGGCCTCGTGCCCAGCATGTCCCCATCTGTCACCTCCCTGGTTCCCGGATCCCTGAGGAGAGACTGAGTGTGAACATCCGGGTGCATTCCCTCTACCCTCAGGGAATGGGGCGATGCTGGGTGCAGCGGGTGCCTCCCCATTCTGTCCCCGTTCCTTCTGGAGCGGCTCTGTAGAGCTCTTGTTGGGGAAACTGAGGCAGGAGCAGGTGGTAGCTTATCCTGGGTCTGGGCATGGCAACGGGCTGAAATAAAGCACTAGGAGTTAACAGACAAGATGAAGGGGTTGGGGACCTCTCAGCTCTGGGGGTGCCCCTGCGTGGGGGTGCCCACACTGCCGAGCCCCAGCCCTGCGGCTTGGCAGGTGTTGCCAGGCACCCGTAGCTGCCTCCGCCCAGCACTTCCAGAGGGGGAATTGGCCGCTGAGTGTTTTCTTCTCTTTGGCAGCCTAATTTAGCATCCAGGAGGTCCTGGCAGTGGCACGAGGGTGTCTGTAGAAGCTGAGAGCAAAGGCACTGCCAGCGCCTGATTGTCCCTCTGTTCACAAACACCGTTGGCGTGTTCCCGGAGCAGCGGTGGGGATGCTGCACCGGCTCCTGGGGGAGCATTCCTGCAGGAGGCTGCCCTCCCGGAGCGTGTCCCGGGATGCTCCCAGGGAGGGCGAGGCTTGGGGCGCTGCCTGGATGCGACGCCCCGCTCCAACGGGCCAGACGTGCCCGAGCAGCTCCTGCAGCCTCCTGCCCGCACCCGCACAACCTCGGCACTTGTGGGGGATGCAGCCTGCGGGCTCTGCCCTCGCCTACCAACTGGGATTTTCCAGCTGAGCCCGTTGTGCGAATCTGGGCTCAGGGCAGCCCTCTGGCTCCCAGACTGCGGTTCCCTCGGCCCTTCTCCCTCCACCAGCTCCTTGTCTTTTTCCAGGAGCCGTTTGAACAATGCAGGGCTGTAACTGAGCTCCATAGCACGAGCCAAATGCTCGTTCCCTCGGTGCAGATCCCTGTACCATGGGGCAGGAGCCACCCTGGGGCTGGGTTCAGGCCAGCAGTTCCAGGTGGCTGCAGGCTTGGTGACCCTGTTCCAGTCTGTCACCTCCCTCCCTACTATCCAGTTTATTTTCCAACATTTTGGAGTTTATTGCTGCTGGATGTGTGGGAAAACAAGGTGAGATTTCCAAATCAGAGCAGGCCCTGCCAACTGGCCATACCAATTATATGAGGGAATTTGGGTGCCCACAGGAAGGCTGGGAATTTCCCTTGTGCCCAAAGCCCTAATCCAGCCCCAGAACCGTCTGCCCACAGCGAGCAGTGACATCCAGAAGCGTTTTGGCTTTGTCCCTGTGAGCACTTCGGGCCGTGTGTGCATCCAGGCTGCCCAGCCGGCACCGCGGGCTGAACCGGCACCCGGGACGTCACCGGGCACCACCACGCTGCGTGACGCAGCCTGGCATGGAGCAATGCTCTGTGGTTTCGATCCCATGTGAGCGCTGAGGTGCTTGGAGGGCGTCCTCACCCGGCGCTGACTCAGCGGCAGCTGCTGCATGCAGAACCGCTCCAGCACCCTCCAGCCGCCAGCCCGCGGGGAGACGGGGAGGACGTGGCCGGGGAGCAGGAGGCGTGGGGACATCAGGACACCACCGGGACACCCTCGGAAAGAGAGCAGGGAGAAGAATTGTGGCAGCTGATCCGTGCTGAGGAGGCTCCCACGCCGAAGGGCTGATCCAGGTGGGTGGCAGAGGTGATTCTGGTCCCGTGCTGGTCCAGTGCCAGCAGAATGGGGCTGGGTGAACCGGTGAAGGGGTCATAACCGTGTACCTCTGGAACAGCTCCTCCAGGCAGGAGGTGACCTGGTCTGCCATGTGAGCCTGGCTGGACTGCCCACCCCAGGAGGGAGAGGAGCTGGGGCCACACTGGACAATGCCCAGAGCTCAGATCTCCGCACTCCAACTGCGTTTGGGACATGGAATCCCATGTTATGGGAATCCTATGTTATGTTGCCGTGTTTTTGGGGCTCTTCGGAGGGCGGCTCCGCTCAGCTCAGCTTGGCTCGGTGCAGCTCAGCTCGGTGTGGCCGTGCCAGCGCGGTGGCTCAGCACAGGAGGAATGTGGAGCAGCAGGTTGTGCCCCGTGCTGGGGAGGGGACCCCACACTGGCCACTGCCGGCTGCGCTGGGGCTCCCGTGTCCTTGTCCCTGCACTTTGACAGCCATCTCCTCTGTGGCTTGGCTGAGTCTGGTACAAGGCTGAGCTCCCGTGCCTGACATGGGGATGTTTTCCTGCTTTTCCTTGCCTGGGGGACACTTTTGCACCCCTGTGCTGAACCGGGGAGTCCTTCCAGTTCTGGGCACAGGTACAAAGGCAGTGAAGCCGGCCACTGGCACAGGGGCTGGGCAGCACCGGACTGGAGGGGTCGGGCAGAGGGGTGCAGAAAACTGCCCCGGGGAGCAGGCAGGAGGATCTGTGCCAGTGCTGGGACCGTTCCCAGCTGTCGCCAAGCCTGGCCGTCCCCCTGCAGACATTTTCCAGGTCAGGAGGCAGCATGTCCCCCCAGGCAGGGGACGAGGATGGGGAGAGGGGCAGACAGCCTCCCCCATGGCCACTCGTCTGTCACAGCGCGTCAGGGGGATGCACCGTGTGCTCTGCAGGGATTCTGCTGGGGTCCAGATTCTGGGGAATCTGGCACCCGTGGGCTGGTAGGGGGTGCAGACGTGGCTCAGCTGTGGCTCAGCCGTGGCTCGGCGGGGCTGTGGGTGCCAGGGCTGGCTCCTGCCGCCGGCGGTCAGCGCTGGGACAGGCGCTGGGCTGCTCCCAGGAAGTTTGTGCACGCAGGTGAGCGGGTGACGCTGGCAGCTGCCTGCTCGGGGCTGCCACGGGAGCGAGTGAGGCCACAGCACACCGGCCCCTGCCCTGCCCACCATTGCACCTGGTGAGTGCTGGGACGTGCTGTCACATCCTCGGGCTCATCAGTGCCCCAGATCGGCAGGAATCTCAGAGCAGCTTGGGAAAGGCGTTGGGGGAGGGGGTCTGACCCACATCTGCTCCAGTGTGCCCTGCCAGTACTGAGCCCCTCTGGGTATTTGGGCTACTCTGGGTGTGTCCACCTCTGGTCAGGGGACTGCAGAAGGGTGTGGGGCTGGTTTAGGTGCCCTCTGCGCCCTTTTCGCTGTGGGCGGGCTGGTGCCTCTGCGCGACCGTTGTGGCGGCTGCGCTTGTTGGGGTTGGCAGGGACCCAAGGACACGGGGTGCGCAGGGCCTCACGCTGCCCCGAGCACACCGCGGCCGGGCAAGCACGAGTGGAAACCCCCGTGTACTCCACCTGCTTTCCAAGGAACTCCAGGATGAGCGCAGGGAGCCTTTGAGAAGCCCCGGAGCTTGCGAGGGGGCTGAGGGAACAGCAGAGGGAGTGGAGCACGGAATCCAGCAGCTCAGCAGGGTGGTAGGTGATGGAACCCTGGGCATAGGGGATGCCCGCCTGGGAGCAGGCAATGCACCCCTGCGCATGGGTGAAGCGAGGATATAGATGAGGCACCCCTGGGAACAATCAGTGCTCCCCTGGGAGTGGGTGATGCACGCCTGGGAGAAGGATATGCCCCCCTGGATGTGGGCAGTGCCCCCCGGAGCATGGCCGATGGGCACATGTAATGCACCCCTTGACTCCTGGCACCTGCGACTTGGGCAGAGCATCAGTGTGGGGTGCTTGGCTCTCTCCGCCCCCACTCTCTCCGCAGGGTGCCCCTCTCCGGGACCGGGGCGCTCTCCCCGCCGGCGCCATTGGCCCCGGTGCTGTTTGAAGCAGGCGTGCGGCGCGGATTGGCCGGGGGACTTGTCGGGGAGGCTCGGCGGCGGCGGAGGCGTGGTGACCGCCTTCAAATAGGCAGCCCGGAGCCGGGGGCTCAGCCAGTGCGGTACCGCACAGCCCGGGCTGTCTTTGTCTGCCGTGGGGCCGGGGCGCGGGCAGGGGCAGCATCGCCGCCGCTCTCACTCCGGCCCCGCTCTCACTCCGGCCCCTCTTCTCAGCCGACGGCACCTGAGCCCTTCGCTGCCCGTGGCGGCCGCCCACCCGTGTCCCGGTGCCGGCACGGAGGATGCCCGTCGAGGCGCTGCAAGCCGGTGACACCATGAAGGGGGTGACGGTGCCTTTCACCTCGGCCATGCCTGTCCGTATCCTCCGCAAAGGGCCCGCGTATTTCCGCCGGCACGCCGAGCCGGGGGCCGGGAAGCCCAGCGCAGTGGAGAGACTGGAGGCTGACAAGGCCAAGTACGTGAAGAGCCAGAAGGTCGCCAGTACCAAGCAGGAGCCGGTGAAGCCACTGCTGCTCAAGCAGCCCCTCTTCGCCCCCGGGGTGCGCCGGGCTGTGCTCACCCCCAGCCGCAGGGCACCCCCGGGGCCGCGCCGCGCCGATGCTGCCAACCCGAAGACCTCCCTTGACCTGGAGATCCTCAACAACCTCATCAACCTCTGTGACAGCCCTTTCCCTAAGGCGGAGAGCCCGCTGGGCAGGGAGTGCAGGTGGCGGGCGGAAGCGCCAGCGGTGGAGGGGGCTGTCAAGCCACCGGAGAGCCCGGCCACCACCAAGCCCCCCGGCAGTGTAGCCGTGCGGAGGGTGGACGTCCGTCCCTGTGGAGCTCCACGGAGCCCAGTGACACCGCTGCCTGCGTCCCCCGTCCCAGGTGGGCTGCCTGTGACCCCATCCCGGAGCTCGCCCGCCCGCCCCGAGAACGCCCGGCGGCAGCCGCTGCTGCACCGCTCCAAGTCGGACCTGAGCGATCGTCTCTCGCGGGCCACCGCCGACCTGGAGCGCTTCTTCAACTACTGTGGCCTTGACCCCGAGGAGATGCAGGACATGGGGGCTGAGCGCTTCGCCCGTGCCAGCTCTGACATCGTGTCCCTCAAGTTCCACAGCGTGAGCACGGCCAGCTCGGAGGGCGGCCGCTCACCGCCCAGCGCTGCCACGCCGGAGGGACGGCCGGCGGAGCGTGTGCCCTACGGCATCTCCATCATCGAGCGCAACGCCCGTGTCATCAAGTGGCTCTACGGGCTGCGCCAGGCCAGGGAGCCCCAGAAGGTCTCTGATGTGTAGTGGTGCCGTGGTGGGCACCGGGGATGGGTTGCTCAAAAGCAGGCAATGCTGGATGGGGACAAAGCACAGGCTGTGCCCTGGGAGGAGCAGGGACCTCTTGATGGTGACAGGACCTTTGAACTTAGCCCTGCTGTACTACAGCATCACTGGCCTGATGTGGTGGCTAGGGATCCATTGTCAGACCCCTGTGCCAGCACTGGAGGGCCAGGTCCCTGTGGGAAGGCAGAGGACTCGTGACCCTGGGTGTGTGGCTGGTCCTCAACACCCATAAGGCCTCATGTGTGGCTGTCCTGCCTGCGCTGCTGGCAGCTCCTGCCTGTCCTGCTCCTCACCAGCACCCCTGGGTGGGGTGCAAGGGGCTGGTTCCCCCCTGCACAGAGCAGGGAAACTCCACTGGGGAAGGAGCTGCCCCCTTGCAGCCTCCACCAAAGGGGTCCCACTGCCTGTGGTGGTGATCACATCCTGGTGGTCCCATCTTATTGCTAAAGAAAAGCCTGGTGCTTTGAGGGGTGAGGGCGAAACCTGACCCCCTGCTTCAAGCTGCCCAGGGCTGTGTGTCTGTGTGTGTGAGTGTCTGCGGGTGCCTGTGTTCCCCTCCCCGGCTGCCAGTGGGCACAAAGCCCCCACCATGCTGGGCCTGGTATTTATGAAGACAACAGTTCCTCTTTTCTACTCTTTTCCTTATGTTTGATCTGTAAATAATAATAATTATAATGCAGCCAGTTTTATTAAATGCCTGTGTTTTGGAGGCTGTGTGTTGTCTCTTGGGGTGGTGGAGGTTGGGATGAGACAGGGACTCTTGGGGTGCCTGTAGCTCTGCAGGGCTGTGGGTGCTGAGTGGACGGGTGCTGGAAGGGAATCGTGGGTTCCACACTGCAGTGTGCCAGCGCGGGGCCCAGCGGGCACGGCAGGGCGGCGGTTGGCTCTGGCAGGTCCCGGCAGAACCTCAGCTGTTGGGATTCCCCTCTGTGCCATGCCTCCTTCCCTCCCCTGCCTCCTTCCCTCACTTCTGCAAAGCTTGGCCAGGTCCCAGCTCTCCAAGAACTGGGAGATGGGGGCGGCAATAGCAGAGACCTCCCAGGTGGGCCGGGATGAAAGTTGGCGCAGGGAGTGCTTTGAAGATGAAAAGCGCCTGTGTGTTCTCCCAGGGCAGCCTTGCATGGCACCACAGCCCTCCTGGCACCTCAGGTGCCACCTGTGCCCTGCAGTCCTCACACTCCTGACGTGTCCCATGCAAGCAGGTATCTGCTGGGGAAGGTGACATCAAAGCCACCAGCAAGCACCTGTACCCAGGGACTCTACCTGACCCTGGGCCTGCTGCTGCCTCCCTTCAGTGCCAGCCCCCTCAGCAGCTGCTGGCCAAGGCAGCACCATGGGCCCCTTCACTGGGGCTTCCATCCAGTGTTTGGGGTCCCCAGAAAAGCTGTCACAAAGAAGAATTTGCCACCCCAGCTTGATTCCTGCGCTGTTGTGTGTCCACCCAGATCCCCTGCTTGGGGTGCAGGATCCATCTGACTCCTACTGGGGTATTGTCAGGTCCAGCTGCCAGGAATGTGGAGGGCAGGATGTGGTGTCAGGACGTGGTGACAGGACACAGGGATGGCATCTGGCTGTGAGTCAGGCTGATGAAGTGCTCTGGGGAGGACACAGGGGATCCAAAATGATGGCACATGGGGCACTGAGTGCCTCCCCAAGGAAAACACCCCAGAAACCAGAGGTTGACAGGGACCCTGGGCACTTACTTGGGGACAGGCTTTGCCCTTGGGGAAGTCTCTGAGGGAACCAGATCCTCACTAGTGGCTGGGACCGGCTGTGCTGCCGGATTCCTCAGCGTGGTGTGTCCCCAGGCTTGGTCTAAATTTGTTATTTCTAAGGAGAAGGGGGGGACCCACCAGTCCCCAGCCAGGCAAGGGCTGAGCAGCCACATGTCCCTCAGGTGCTGCCAGTCCTTGGTGTGACTCTGGTGTCCCATGCCCCGCATGAATGGGACCTGACATGGCTGCCCAAAGCCCTGTGTGCTCATGTGTGCATGCAGGATGTGTCTGTGTCCGTGTGTCCACGTGCACATGTGTTTGTGAGCAGGATTTCGATGTGCACACACAGATGCTCACACAGCAGCCTTGTTCCCGAACCAAGAGTCTCCATATGACCCCCACCCATGGGACTGCCAGCATGAAAACCCCAGCACAAACGTGTTCAGACACACGTGTCCCCCCCAGAATGTCCCCCCTGTGCCCCCCCTTGCATGTTCCCACTGGGGACAGCAGGACAGCCCCTTGCTCCCTATCGCTTTCCCTGGCAGCTGCTTCCCGGTGGCTCCGGTTTCGTGGGGAGTGCAGCTGAGCCCATCAGTTATTTCCAGGGAGGAGGGACAGCCGGGGAAATGTCCATCACCCTCTGCACTGAGATTCCCCATGGGTGCCCCATGTGCAGGCAGGAGGTGCAGGCAGGCAGCCAGAACAGAAGGAAAACCGGCAGCACCGCCCCCTGTGTTTTCCATTTTTTAATTATTCCCCACTGATGAGCATCTTCTGGAAGCGCCAACAACGTCACGTGCTTTAATCAGTGTTAATTAGCGGGTGCCTCGGGACAGTGATGAGGGCAGGCAGCAGGAGCCCCCCCGCTGCTGCGTGCACAGCCGGTGTCGGTGCCAGCACCCACCACCTCCCACCCCCCCAGCCCCTTTAACCCCCAGCCCCCTCCCCACCCCC